AACGGAAACCAATTTAGGGACGGACGTACAGACGAACGAACGGGGTGGACGTACGGATGCTTAATACCCCCTTCGCTTAATGGCTGGGGCATAAAAATGTTGATCTGCATACCAAGTTCCTGTGCGGCGAACGCGTCAAAAACTGAAGAGTATTATTTGGAAGAGAGATAATCATTGAACCAGCTTACCCACTATTTGAAAAACAGAATGATCTGTCCTAATTTCACTCTTTCTTGAATATTGGTGCCCATATATACAAACTAAACTGGTTTTCTTCTTCAACTAATGGCATTTTACTGTTACATTTTAGCTCCCCTTTTCAAAAAAAATATTAAATTAGAAGTTTTAGTTGAGTTACAACACCGTTATTACTTTTTGTCGCTAGATTAATACCAGAAAGACGTGACCGTCTTATTCACTCAAGTCATATTCACTCATATAATCGTGTACACTGCAAAGCTTCATTGGTTCAATTATTATCTTACTGCGTCATTTTTAAAAGAGGGACGAAAGATACCAGAGGGACAGTCAAACTCATAGATCGAAAAACAATATGACAACACCATGGCAAATATAAAAAGACAAATAGACAAATAAAAGTACAGATGACACAACATAGAAAGCTAAAGACTTAGCAACACGAACCCTGTACATTTTGTACATGAGATACTGTATCGAGAGGTATTTATTAAGTAATTCGTCGAGACTGAAGACAATATTTTGTGCTTTTAGTTAGTGGCGGTGAAATTCTGCTACTTTAGTGCTAATACATCAACCTAGATTACATCACCACCTCTTCCAAGGAAGGACATTGTCCTCTTCTTAATATTGAACAAGCCTTTTATTTGGCTTTCTAATATAAAAATAAATACATTTTTTTTAAACATTTCGATGTAAGACTAATGGAATGTCGAACTACATGTACATGTATTAGGTGACGAACCAATAGGATGTCGGACTATTGGGGTGTCGGACTAATGGGGTGTCGAACTATTTGGGTGTCCGACTAATGGGGTGTCAGACTATTGTGGTGTCGGACCAATGAGGTGTCGAACTACTGGGGTGTCGGAATATCGGGCTGCCATCGGGCTGCCCCTTTCATGACCTTGACTGGCTGGTAAGCCCTCATAATTATTTGGACTAAGGACAGGCCAGGCTATAGGAGGGGTAGTCCAAATAATTATGAAGTCTTGAACATGTTGAAAGGCTATTTTAACTTTTTGCTGTGACCCCTTCCGTAATGTCATAATTATTTGGACTACTCCTCCTATAGCCTGGCCTGTCCTTAGTCCAAATAATTATGACGTCTTGACAGGCTATTTTAATTTTTTTTTGTGGCGCCTTCATACATTGTCAGTCAGGGGTACCACTTGTACAGTCAGGGGACTTACTTAAATGAGTGATTTTCTAAATCACTGATTCAAGTAACATTATGTCCATAAAGGTTGGAAGTAAGAGTCTTTCTTTAATAATCACCTATTTAAGTAGTACAAATTAATCACTAGACTAAGTGATTTAATTTTATTGTAGCTTTAAATATAGAATACTAATGATCCAGGGACTAATTATGTTGCTAAAATTATCAGATCCAACATCTGTGTTGATAGGATGACTGGGTCATGTCAGGCGATGACCTTCTACTAAATCTAGGGTAATGACATAAAAATCACTTGTTTAAGTATCATACCTCAGGTTAGCTCATAATTTTTGATAAGAGTTCAATGTTTCATCTCATTAATTCAACAAAGAAACTGATTGAGCAAAGATCTTAAGTATTTGCATAAGGCCTTCAAAAATTGCTCCTTGGGGGCTTGTAAATGAGCAGTGTTCTAAAGATAACAGACAAACAAGTTGCTTTTTTAAAAAAAAAGTCAATACGTGAACCTTAGAACTTTTATGCTACATTTGTAATTATTATTTCAACTGAATTGTAAATTATATCTCAGTATTTTCATTACCATGTGTGTGGAGGATAATATTTTCTTTTTATTGTAAATCAGGACAATTATGGCATGTTGAGAGTGGTGTTAAATATAAAGTAGGGAGATAAGGAATGTTTTAATTTCAATAGTTCATTTCTGGATGGTGTTACCTTTCATTTTTACCAGTGTGAAAGGTCAAACTACTACCAATGGATGACACTTCTAGGGTGTTTATTGGTAAAGGTAATATTTCAACTAGAATCCCTCAGTAATTTTATATATTTTTCTTTTTAAAATTCATATTTCAGAGCAAGTACGATATTTTGTTTCATAAAATGTGAAAGTTTTATTCCTACCAAATAAGACAAAATCTACTTGCTTACCATTTTATTTTGTGCCGTAAAATCCCGTTCCACCTTAGAAATGGGTTTGGATCCAGCTAATACATTCCATTTGCTGCTTATACATGTATACTTAATATACCTGTCCAAATCCGGAGCCTGTTTTTTTGTTTGCTTATTATCGTGTCTGTTTTTCGGTTGTTTTTTTTGTAGAAAAATATTGCCATTGATTTAAATCTTGTACAACACTGGTCAATTTGATGTCATTTATTTAGCTTGCTTTGCTAAGACTCAACATTCAACGCCATGTTTATTGAAAAGTTCTCTCATTGGCAAGCATAGTTTACCAAATATTATATAGTCATATCAGTCGCAGGATAATCGATTATTATGAAATGCGGTTCCTTAAATTAACATACGTAATAAATCTCAAAACTTTACACTGTTTTTGATAACTTATGTTTGTTGCCTATAATTCAGAAATTTAACAGTGTTTTGGGATTTTTTGCTTAAAGTTAACTTTTTAAGTATGGGTCCCTTTTCAAAAGTCTCCCAACTACTACCTCATATGTGAACTTAAGTATAGGGGAAATTTTGTTCACGATGTTAAAGAAATCTTCTACTTGCTCTATTTTGCATGTGAAGACCATAAAACCGTCATCTCTATATTGACAGTGTTATAATACTTATTTGATGTTTTCTTTCCATTTGAACTTATCTAAGATATTTATTAATAGGACAGACAGATGCAGATATGTGCATGATGGTGAAAATATACCACCTATGGAGGGGGCACTCCTATAACTTGTTTGTATAACTTTCCATTAAACTCAAATTTATTGTTTCTTAGAATTAATTAAACAAATGCAGTTTAATCTTTTTTGTTGAGAATCTTTAAAGGATATTCTTTTGTGTCAATTAATTCTTCTGCATTGATAACTGTTTCTTTTAAATTATCAATGATCATATTTGTGTACATTTACGTTTCATCATCATGATCATAGGCAAGAAGAATGAATTCCCTTTTTACCTCGTGTGTTTTATTAATGACATTTTTTGTATCTTGAACTTAAAAGTTATGCCTCTACAAAAATGGTTTTATATTAGATCATTTAATCTCTCAATGAGAGTTACACTTATTGATGATCAGTTGTAAGGAACATTAATATATGTCTCCTACTAGTTGAGCATTACTCGATGCCTCATTAATTATTTCTAGATTAATTTAATGAATTTTTGAAAGACTGAGGTACATGTGTCCATGTTTTGAATCATTGTTATTCTTTAAGAATTATACGTATGGGAATCTATTTCTATTTTTTTTCTATATAGGTTATCAACTATATCTTTTATTACCATATAACATATAAGTGCGGTTAAGCGATCCGTGTAAAGTTCTTTATTGCCAAGTTTTATATGTCTTAAATGATCCGTATGGAGGTGCTCTTAATTGCAGGAAGCTAATACAGATAAGAAATATAAATGTTCCGAATGAACAATAATTAGGATTCCGAATATTCCTCCATAGACTATATTTCTAACTAATAAATATGCGTGAACCCTCAGGGGTTCACGCAATGAGATTTTCATTGTCCATGAAATTAAGCTAGCTTTAAAACCAGGTTCAATCCACCATTTTCTATATATAAGAAAATGCCTGTACCAAGTCAGGAATATGACAGTTGTTATCCTTTCGTTTGATGTGTTTCGAACTTTTGATTTTGCCATTTGATTGGGGACTTTCCTTTTTGAATTTTCCTCGGAGTTCAGTATTTTTGTGATTTTACTTTTTACATTTAAATGAATAGTAAAGACATCTGCAAAGGACAGACAATTCAAAATTCTGTTAGAGCAAAGAAGTTCTAAGAATTCAAGAAAAGAAAATAGGATGACTTTTTTACTTGTATAAGTAAAAAAATTTGAATGTCTAACAATGTCTAAGGGACATATTAACTACAAATGTAGTCTTGGCCAAAAAATAATTTACTTATAGAAGTAAATAAAATACACTTGTATAAGTATCGAACAAATTTACTTATATCATTTGTATATAAGTATATTATAATTACTTCTTCAAGTAAATAAAATGTACTTGTACAATTAGTACCCCTGACTGACTGTCATACGACGTTGTTAAAATAGCCTTTCAAGACGTCACAATAATTTTTGAACTAGCCCACAGGCACTTGTTTTCTATCCATGGCAAGATCTACTATCTCTATATATTACATGGATAGTAGATCTTACCATGGATAGAAAAAAGTGACTGTGGACTTCAGCCTTATATGAGGGGCCTGATGGGTTATTTTCGTTCTTCGTGATCGGCGCATTTTCGCTATCGTGATCCGTTTTCCTACAGATTTATTTTTTTTTTATATTTTCGTGATCCGTGATCATGGAAATTTATTTTCTGTGAATCGTGATTGACAAAAAAATCCTCTATCAAGCCAGGAAAATAATAACCTTTTTTGGTAATTCTGAATTAAGTAATTTTTTGGCATTATTACTAGCCTACGTGCACCAGAACATTTCCTTTGAAATTATAATCAGAAGTGTTGCACAAAGAATGTGCAAATATAAAATAGAGCTTCAGTTTTCTGAGTTTCCAGGGGAGGTAATTAGTTATCAGTATCTAATTTGTCCATTGTTACACAGTACTTTGTTTGTAGAATACAGATATTTTGCAATTCATTTCGTAAAAAATGACAACCTTTATAAAATACAGTTGTCTACTTACCAGTATCTCTATCATTAATATCAAATACAGAATATCTAATTTGAACGCTTTGTCATTCAGCAAATCAAAGGTCGATAACCACGAATATATAAATATAAATATATGGAACGCGGGTTACACAAAAAAGTCTTGACCAATGCCACCAAAATTATGTATCATATATAGATAGGTTAATAGATAATTCACCAACAAAACAAAATACTAATAAATTAATAATGTAAAAGTACTGAGTCTAATTCTGGTAATGTTAACTTAGACCATAGTATTCATATTTACCAACACTTTAATTAATAAAAGTAATAGCTTTTCTAAAAAGCTAACGTGAGGGTACCCAAATTGCATCTATTTTGACAGTTTTTTCACCTACGTTTTTTAACGATCCAGACAAAAGTTACCATTCTGTGTTTATTTTGTAGATGTATCCCTTTTTACGGTATAGTTACACCAATTTAATTTTGAATCCATAGTGAATCATAGAAAATGGGTTTGAACCGACCTCCAAACGATCCATGATTCTGTAATGAGGAGTACCAAAATTGCAACCATGCTTTAATTCACATCCTTAAAAATCGAATAACAGTTGTTTTGTTTTATTTCTTCAAATATTTAGAACAATTTGATATTAGTCCATGCTTAGTATTCATTTTTTAAGAAATAGATGCTTGTAACATATTTTATTTACTCATTTTTAAAAGATGGCTTTTTGTGAACGTCACATGGCGACGTTCAGTAGATTTTACTTTTTCCAGTGTGCTTCATCTGTTGAAATATATACTGTGAAAGTTTTTTTTATATATTTGAATATAGTTACCTATATTAAAAGACGTCTATAATGTCAAATCATAAAAATACAAATTATTTAGTCTCAAAGAAATCTTGTAAGATTTTCGCAGCTATTTTTGTTGAATAGGTGCAATTTGGGTACTCGGTGCAATTTGAATACTGTGACGTTAGCCGTCTTTAGCTGATGAAAGTGGAAAATGTTTTCGCTTTGTAGTTTAATTCATTCAGAATAGCCTTGTACATAAATTGTAGTATATTACAAAACTTATAAAAGGCTTAAACATTTTTTTAGATTTACCTAAATCTTTTTCGGGGGAATGTATTAACACTGGAAACGGAGGGGTAATGTCTTAATCATCTGGGTTTGTAGCAAATTTTTGAAAATATTTCTTTTTATTTTCAGTTTTTTCTGATAGATGGACTTAGTTTTTCGCAGTTAACATTTATAGACAATCTGGTATTAAACTTTTTTTAACATTTTTAAACCTTAATGGATTGTTATGAAAGTTGGACATAAGCTAATCTTCAAGACCAGGAAAAGCATCTAAAGAAAAAGTTTGAATTTTTTTTTTCAGAATTCTTGATACTGATAAATGGACTCACTTTTTAAGTCAACATTACACTTTACACTGATAGCAGCAATCGCAGACGAGACACAGGGTTCCGCGGAACCCCTTACGATTTTTTTGCTATTAAGATTTTTTTTTACATGTATTCACAACTATGCTACATATTATAGCTAGACTTGGGAGGATAAAGAACTTAAAATATTATAATGACATGTCCATTGTAAAAGACCGTATGTTGAACTTAAGAAGTAAATTGTTCTGTTTGTTGTTTAAATTAATTGGGTTGCTTTTTAAATACATTATGTATACTGCACATTTCCTTTTAAATCATGCATAACTATCAAATATTGCTTAAAATATGCTAGCATACATGTATTATTGCTTTTATCGTCTGAGAGTAGTTTTGTTTTATTCTACTTATATTCCCCTTTGGAGTTTTTTAGTCTTCTGTTCTTTTCAACGTCTGTTATCTTGATAGGAAGAGCTAGGGAGAGGTAGACAACGTCCAACCCATCCCACAACCGGATCCCCTAAAGATCTTGGGGTATGTGGAAGGGGGGCATTTATTATAATGAGTGGAAGGAATGAGCCGCTGTTCGAGAAACTTAGGTGAAATATATAACAAGGTGGATGATTGTGAATCTGAAACTAATCAGATGTCGATATTTTTTTACAGATGCAATTAAAATTACTGTCGTTAATGCTTAAGACATTTGCCAAAACTATTCATCTCCCGTTGAAATAGCGTAACAATGATGATGTAGGTATAATTATTGTAAAAAAAATATGATAGCTATAGCCAGGGTATGTTCTTTTGTTATATAAGATATATGAAAAGTGTGGGATATTGGATGTCTCAGCTAGTCACCCCTACCATAAAAAGGTCGAAGTGCCGTCATCCCCTGAGATGAGATAAAGATTCCATTGTAAACTAATATTAATTGAAAGTAAATGATTTGGATGTCTCCGTTTTCAATGTTTTTTCTGCCTTTTGATTATTTTACTAAGAATTAATATCTATAACCTAAGAAAAAAGCATGCGCGGTGTTTTCCTATGTTTTCATGTATAATATGTACGTAACTTGGCTGTGAGCGACTGGATTGAATGTGAAATAATCACGTGTGTGTTTACAAAAATTTAGTACTGAGTTTCGGGCTATTTATAAATAAGTGTTACCTGTGTACCGATATGCATAATTGGTAACCAAGCAAAATCTAATTGCTAAGGCCAATTAAAATTAATTGATAGATTTTCATCCCCGCCCGCCCCTCTGAAATCGTCCCGCCCCGATTTTTTTTATTTTAAAAAAATTACGATTTCCGGATTTTGTTCATTTCCGTTACCAGAAACCACCGATAATTTCGTTTCATTCATTACTTCCTGTAGCAAATTTCGGTTTTCGTATTTCTTCGAGTAATTTAACCAAAATGATTAAGTCGAAATATTCTGCTGCTCTATGATGACAGCATTATCTTCCGAGAAAAGAGATTGCTTACGAGAAGGGCATGAAATATTCGGGTTACGAGTGACAGGCGGTGTCCAAGAACGCAAATTGCGGTCAGTGATTAGAAACCTGTGGATTTTTTTATTTTATACAATGACTTTGTGTCAGGAAATTTGGACTGTGAATGATATCCAAAGCACAAGAATCGTGGAACACATTGCTGCAATAAAAAACATGACTGGGATAAAGAAATTGACACAAGCACGAACTTGTGCGATCTAAGACCATATATTGAGTACAAAAAAGTCGGCCAATGTAATGCTATGTCTTAAAACTTTTCCAGATACACAGGGTTATCTGTACTCAGAGTAAATTTTGAGGTGAAAATGCAGCCATTGTAGCCAAAGGGTCCACATGAACCTTAAAAGCATAAACCATAGTATTTACAACATAGTTTGAGTTTTTATTTCACTCTGTACTCATAATACTTGTAATGGGCACTACAAAGTACTACTTAGAAAGCAAAATAAATTTTATGTAGGTAGTCTAAAAGAGAACATTTCTCCACCTTTTTGCTATTTACTAAAAATTGGTTTCTAAAGTGGCAATCACATGTAGAACAGTGGTTGCCAATCCGAAATCTTTACTTAAGAATTTGAAAAATTATGTAGAATTCCTTATATATACATGATATAAGCTTAATATTACCCTTGCATATGAACAGTCTGATTGAAACCAACCCCCAATATCTACAAAGGCAAATGGAAAGTGGGGGCTGGTTTTAATCAGACTGGCATATGAAAAACACGTCACAAAAGGGTTTCGGAGGAAATAAAAATAAAAAAATAAAATCCTCCCACCCGCCCCATTTTTTTCAAAAATTGGATGAAAATCTACTAATTAATTTTAGTTGGCCTAAAATAAAGAGTTCAAATCCGATACTCTACGGGATTAACAGACAGTTACTAGGTTATGATTGTCCCAACCAATCAACGAACTTCACTATTATAGAGTCAGTAATTATCTTCCAATCAGATAGTAAGAATCATTCAGCCCGCAGACTGTGCATCGTTCAACCCTTAAGACCGTCTCCTCGGAGACGGTAATGAGGCAGGCAAACCTGTGAAACTGTATACATTATTTTTTTAATAGTCAAGCACATTTTAAATTCAAAATCTTAAAAAAGAAACGGAAATACGGAAACGTTTCCGACGTTGGTCCTTTTGTTAGGGATTTTAGTTGTGACGTCATTTTCAATGTTAACAAAGAAACGCTATCATCAGGTAACGTTTTTTTTTCATATCAAAGAATTATAAAAAAAACCAACAAATTTACGGGAAACAATATGAAACAATACAAGTCTCGTGACAAACGAGACTGGAAGAAAAAAGAAAGAGATTTCTGCGCAAATGCGGAACTCCCCATACACAAGAATCAGGGACAGCTCAGTGGGGGTAACGTTATCAGTGAATAACAAGGGAGCACTTCTGGACTAATAAAATTTAACATTGTTGTATATGGAAAAAACATGACAGTTAATGCTTTAAAATGATTTGTCAACATTTTATTTCTACAATCATAAACTATTGCCATGGCAGGTGAAAAAGTTATTAGATTTATCTTTATTTTGATGTAAAAAAAAATTATTTTATGTTATTTAAAAGTGGTGTCCCTAATGATTTGAAAATTTCCCATGAAAAGATACGTTTTTCCTACATAACTTAACCAAATTCAATGATGACGAGTGGTTGTAAAAAATTCCTATAAAATTCATTATTGCAGTGACATTATTTCGCCATGTCCCATGTTATTTTTGTATAATTCTTCTTTCTGAAGGTGCAAAAAAAATATTTTAAGTTTGCATTTGATGGTGTCCCTGGAAGTTTGAATATGGTGATTATTTCGTTATCAAACGTCAGTTCATGTATACGTATATTGTGAAGAACTGAAACCGATATCTATACGTACCATATTGGGAAAGACGGAAAATGTTTGATATAAGATAGCGTCGAAACTTTAAAAAAAAATAATACCATTAATCATTTTTCAATTATAGTTTAAAATAAATTCATGATGACGAAAATGTTAAATTGAATTTTAGTCCCGATTAAAAATTGTTGAAATTTTAAACATTATCCGGATAATTTAGATATATAGATAGAACTTAAACACATTTTGTATGATTAGAAAATTGCTAATGAATTACAAAGAGCTTATTTGCAGTACACACCTAATGACAAAGGAAACAATGTGAATTTGAAATGCTGTACTAAAAGTTG